CTCCGCGGCCGCAGGCGCAGGCCGGGCTGACAGCCGAGACGCCGGCGCGGGCGGCAGCTCCCGGACCCAATATGCGCCCCTCGCGGAGAGGCATCTGGCTGGTTCTGGCCGCGTCGCTCCTGCATGGTAAAGCCGCCGCGTCTCCCCGCCCTCCACTCCTCCTCCGCGGGATCCCCGGCGCGCCCTGGGCTGCTCAGTGCGCCCCGCGCCGGGGCCAGGTTTGGGGACTCACGCCGGCGAAGGGAAGCGGGGACGCTGCTGGGGTTTGCAATGGGAGAGCAGGTCCTTCTGGTCTGGGCTGCAACGTCTGGGTGGCTGGGGGTCGCGGGCAGGGGGCGCACCCCCGGCCTTTCCTGAGCAGCCCGCCGGCTCTTCTCTCCTGAAGTGTCCCTGCAAGGCGAGTTCCAGAGGAAGCTCTACAAGGAGCTGGTGAAGAACTACAACCCCTTGGAAAGGCCGGTGGCTAACGACTCTCTGCCGCTCACCGTGTACTTCTCCCTCAGTCTCATGCAGATCATGGACGTGGTAAGTACCTGGCCCGGCAGCAGGGCAGCCCCCTGCCAGGCGCGGACTCCCAGCGGGGGCGGAATCGGCTGGAACCCGGCGCTGTAGGGACTCTCTCGCTGACCCTGGGCCACTTGACTTGGGCCTGCCCGCTCCTGAGTGCCTCAGTTTCTCTGCCTGCCCCAGAGTGGGGACACAGTGAAGCTTGTTCCGCTGCACTGGCCACCTGTGTGTGGTTTGGTCCCGCCGTTCACTCAGCTTACAAACTCGAGGAGAAGGTATTTCTATCCTGAGCGGCGAAGCAGCAAGAACGGGGTCCCAATGGCGCATGTAGGCTCCCATTCGGTGTCAGTTTAACCAAGTCTGGAGTTTTCGGCTTTCTGTGTTATGTAGCATCTTTGGGGAGGGGCCTGACCGTGTTTTTTGCAGCTGGTCAATCTTTCCAGGCAGAGGGCCAGGAGTGGGCTCTCAGGAACAAACTCCTCACCCTTTTCCAATAAGGGGCTTTTTTTTTTTTTTTTCCTTTCTGGTAAGGGTAGTTTTGTTCTGATGATGATGCACACCCAAGACACAGCTGTCTTTCTTTAGGCTGCTGCCACCATCCCCCCGGGCATCTTGCCTTGAAGACTTACTCCTACTTATTTCATTTGGCAGATTTGTAATATCTGTGTAAGTTTGTTCTTTAGCTATTCCAGACTGCATCGAATATTCAGCTTACACTGGCATAGTCTTTATACAGTACAAATATTTTACAAACATATTGGATTCGCTAGAGATGGGTTTCAGTGTCTGCACTGCACAGGCATGGGAATTTGGAGGCAGATTGTGGAGGTTGTGTGAGGCAGGGGGAGGCACAGGGATTAATGTGTTTAGTGGGGAGGAAGACTATGATGGGAGAGAGGTGTGGAACAGCCACAACTCCATGTAGAGAGTGCTGAGAACCACCAGAGGGGGTCGGAAAAGTATTGTAGGAACACAAGTCAAATTTCATAATCCTACAGAGCCCCTATACCACTACACTGCTGCACCCCTGAGCTCAGCTCACCTAGTGATGAAGGGTTTCTGCTCTCACATCACACCTGTGTTAAATGTGTGCTTCTGCTCACACAGATACCTCTGTTTTAAAATAGCCAGCATCTCTGTGGCACTGTGGGGAAGTTAGCCTCAGAGGAGAGCTGTTAAAGAGGGCAAGTGCATAGGTCAAAGGACAGCGGAGTATTGACCCATCTCTAGCGAATCCAATATGTTTGTAAAATATTTGTATTGTATAAAGACTATGCCAGTGTAAGCTGAATATTCGATGCAGTCTGGAATAGCTAAAGAAAGAAGAAAGGATGAATATTTTGAGTGAGGGGAAGAAAGGCTGAAAAAGATCTAGTTTCAAGCCAGCTGGATAAGAGAGAAATGGAGGTGCCGAGGCTCTGCGAGGGACACTTGGGAGGGGCTGATCCTTTAAGAAGCAACTTCTCTGTTACCTCAAGGAATTCAGGCCTTATATTTGGGCAGCTTGGTGTGTTCTGTCTCTGCTGGTCTCCTGGGAATTGGCCTCAGGGAACTTTCTTAAGCATCCTGAGTCTACATTCTGGTCCATAAAATGGACATGCTAGCACTTCATTGATCACTGTGATGACCGAAATCTTATGGACACAACCAAGCTATAGACACCTGAAAATGAATATGGTCATTTTTATCAAACTACCATACCTGTCCCCAACATGATCAAGGACCAGTCAGCTGGGCTAACACACTTTACAAATGAAACATGATAGGGTGAGAACGTGAAGGCCCCTCACCCCCTTGACCAGCATTAGCTGCAACTGGACTGCCTCACTGAACATGTGTGCTTCATCCTGCCATTTTTTATAATGATCCTTGCACTGGCTGTCTGGAGTATGAGGGTGCAGGGGGCATTCAGTTGAAGAGCCAGAGAAGTGAACAAATGCAGTGGATTTCCTAAAGTGTGACAGTCTCTTTTAGAGGGTAGAACATTCACTGGAATCTACATGTTTCTTTCTGGGTCCCCTCTGCCTCTTTAAGAGATACTTAAAGGATCAGGTAAACATGAGGGATTCTGGTTCTTTATGAAAAGTCTATGCATAAGCTAGTGTTGCTGATATGAAAGTTAAAAAAGAAAGCCACAGACTTTTGTAAAGTTAGGAAATTTAAAAAAAAAATAAAAAATCATAAACATTATAGGACATCAATATCCCAGTATTAGTAAAGACAGATGTTATCAGACAGAGGTCATGGCAGGGTGAGAAGGGAGTAAGTCTTGGATACCTCAGCTGTGGGTCCAGTCATGAAACCACTGAGCTTCCCAGCCAAGTAATACTGCAAGCTCCTGGGGTGGCCTTGAGCAAATTACTTTACCTTTCTAAGCCCTGTTTCCTCATGTGTAAAATGAGAATAATAATACCCACTTCACAGGGCTTGGAGACGATTAAATAACAGAAAGTGTTTGCTACACGCTGGTGATTCACTGAAGGTTTGCTCCATCTTAATTAGTAGCCGCTCAACTCACAGTTCAAAAAGTAGATGCTAGAAAGGTGTGGTCACAGAATGCTCAGGTCATTGCTTAGGGATAGAGTTTTGGGGTAAGTCCACTTCTGACTCTCAAGACCTTTGTACCCCTGGTCACCTATAGAGTTGGTAACTTCTTTTGCAAACAAAATCAGCTTAATTTATTTGAACTGGTTGAACTTTAACCAATTGAAGATGACTGTCCTGCAGCCTTGGGTGAAAAGGGAGTCTCTATATAAAAAATGATGAAATGTGCAAACATTTGTATTCCAGTTGAACTTGGCTCTGCCTTGTTCTGAAGCAGAGCCAGGCCTTTGAAGTCAGAATCTCAGCACCCTGGACAGAGACACAGTGGCTCTTGAGATTCATCCAGCAAAGTCGTGGTTGCTGCAAGGGTCTCTTTATAAATTCAATTCCAGGGGGCTTTGTTGACTGGGTTGTTGTTAGAGATCATTTCTGTCCCCAAGATTTTGTTACGGGTCCCCTTTCTGCCAGCTGAAGTTTTGTTTCTTTTAGCTGGGAAGATAGGGTTATTGCATTTGATGCTTTTTTTTTGGTAAATGATGTTTACTTTTAGTTGACTCTACACTTCCTTATTGAGCTACTCTTATGGAGTTTGCTAGATCTTGAAATTCATAAATTGATAAAAGATAATTTCTATGTTTAGAACTCATTATGTAGGGAGATTGATGTGTAAATCTAAATCACCATGTGTGGGGTTTAACATAAACGTTTGTGCAAAATGATACAAATATAATGATACATGGGAGAAAATGTTTATTTTCGGATGAACTATTTGCTGCAAGACTTATCCGTCTACTTATAATTATTGAGAACTTATAGAAGAGTGTATAGTAGGTCAAACAACCTTTATAAGCCCTTTGATGATAACTATGCTTTGGAAAACACACCTTTACAAGGTGAAGGATAAAATTATTTGTAATAGAAAATGAATTCCAAGGGAGGTATAGAGAGTGGTGTAGCTTGAGTTTTCTGCAGAATATACATTTTACCTTGTGCCTTAGTCTGGAAATCTATGAAGGCCAGAAGAGGTGGTGTGCCAGGGGTTTTGAGAAGCTGCATGATTAGCTTACCATTGCATATATATATATTTTTTTGAATGGAGACAATTCCAAACATACTATTTGTATTAAACCCAGCAAGTATAAATTATAGATTAGAATGAAAAATGCTCTGCATTTTAAAGACAAAATATGTGTCTTCAAAGAGATGCTTTACTTGTTGTGTTCTGTATTGCTACTCAGCAAGTCCCTTGCTAAGAATGAGAAGATGCAGACGATTTGAGCAGATGAGCACATAACTGCATTTTTGTTCAGATAATTGATGCTAAGGGCAATGTGCATAATGGGAGAGATTGGAATGTAGGATAGATGAAGATGTCCAAACCAGATTTGTTACTGTGGAAATGTGGAGAAGTAGATTTTAGAAACATTTTGGATATGTTACCTATGATATATATCTGTGGGTAAGACTTCCTGTAGATACATAGATAAATTCAGTAAGTGAAAGTACTTAAATTATTCCTAAATGCATAGACTGACTTGGGTGATCATTAATTTACTTCATGGGCTTGTAGCTGGGCTGAGAATGAGATAATACGTCAGAAATCATTTTGAAGTGATACGAATGTAGGGATCTGAACTGCCAACATTTTCCATAATATTTCTCCTTTATTCATGCTATTTAATCATTCACCTGCATGCACATACATTTAAAGGCCATTCTGAGTGTTGATTTACAAAAAATTAATGAGCACAGTTATGAAAGCATTCTAGAAGGCAAGATATTTACAATGAATAAATCAAAATACAATTAAATACTAATATTAACTACATAATTATTTTTGATACCTTATAAACTTTTTAAAATTCCAAATTCAAGTTTTTAGAAACTTCAGTCACAAAACAGTGGAACTCATTGACCGTGTGTTTGGAGTTTGCTACTACAGATGGCAGACATGGTTGGGGAGCCCAGTGTTCCCAGGGCTTGTGTGTAATTTGAGATCCCTAAGGGACCCCTTTGTTTACCTCTGTAGGATGTAGGGTTTTGCATTTATTTGCCATTACTTAAAAGGTTATCTCTATAACTCAGTATATTTCAATTGAACTGAAAAATTACACTTGAGCACAGTCTATGAGGAGAATCCAAAGTATAATTAAGTAATTATCCTAATAATGCTTTTTAGAAGTGATATTTCTTAACACTACAAAGGTAAAATATGTTTTGTACAGGAAAAAAAATTAAAGAAAACTGAAGGAGTGAAAAAAAATCACCTAAGCCATCATTGTTCAAGGCATTCTGGTGTATTTCATGCTATATTTTCTTTATGTTTATGGAATGTCAGAGAAATATTTAAAAATTAAAGTGGTATAATACTATGCATGGGACTTAAACAGTATTAGTAGGCATTAATTTTAAAGTGACACAAATAGGCCAAGTAGTAAAAAATACAAGTTTTATAATTTACATTCTTTCCCCCA